AGAATCACACCCTTCCAAGAATCATGGAAGCTGAGCTGAGGGAAGACTCGACCTTCCTGGGCGAATGTTCTGTCCGCTTCTCTCGATTCCCACTTGTCCGGATGCACGAGCTGCAAAGGTGGGGCTTCACTGCGATTCCGAATGAGACGCAAGACCAAGAGGATCAGGGCTGTGGGGAATGACCACTTCTGTGATACAACGGAAAGGGCTTTCCAAAGACTATTGTGCTCATGGAAAGGGGGATTCCCTTGTATCACAGAAGTGGGGAAAAACCCCTTGATCCCACAACCCTGACTAAGAGGATGATGTTGGCACTCCGAGCAAATCGGGGCCCGAAGATTTCAAGAGCTCCGCTGGCAATCCAACGAGCTCCGCTCAGCAACCAATTGCGTACGCTGAATCAGCGCCAACTCCCTTGGGGCATGGGGCCTAAGGAGTTGAATCAGAGGGTGTTCAATGGGTGGGGTGTCTACTCCCTCAAGTTGCCTCAAGTTGCCTGCATCCAAGCCCAATGGCAAAGGAAGGGAAATCCAGTGACTCCTGCCACTCGCTTGAAAACTAAAATTTGCCAACCTCTCGTCGTGTTTATTGGCGTGCTTCCCCGGATTACCTTCAAAATGGCAGGGGGTGTGACTAATCCAGGGTCAACATGGGGGGAGTGGGGAGGAATTCATATCCCAAAGTTATGCCCAGACACACACCAATGCCGTAGCCCTCGAACCTTGAGCAAGCTGTTTGCAAGCAAGCCATTGCTGGATCAATCCCGTGGAAGCAGTTTAATTCGTCAACCATCTGGCAACACAAATCATGGAACCCCCGTGTTGTGGCGCGCATCCTTGCTTTCCCCCCCCCCTTTGGTCGGCTTTGGCTTCCGTTGGCTTGTTGGAACCCCAAGCATCGGGGAGAAAAAAAAAAGAAAAAGCGAAGAGGAAAAGAAACGGTCTCCGGGTCCAACACCAAAAAAGCAAAGCGGGAGGTCCATTGGCCCCGGATTCCAGGACCTTCAAAAAGACCACCGAAAAGGGCACCGAAGCCTTGGTATATTTTGATCCGGGGGTCTCGCTGTGGTTGGACGCATCACTGTTTCGAGGCCAAAAACAAAAAGGACGGGCTTATTGATATCCTGGGTCACCACCCTTGAATTGGCCCACATCATACGGAACACAATTTATGCAGGGATCCATACATTATACACCTGAACATTGCCTTGTAAATGGTGGTTTCCAACTTTATTTTGGTCTTGAAAAAGCAACATGTTTCAAATGGCTGCAAAATGGAGATCTTTTAAGGAGCCCTGTCATGTTTTCCCCGAAATAGAAACATATTCTCGGAGACCCCTCCTCAGAGCACCAGAAGGGGCAGCAGGGACTTCCTCTTCGAAAGTGGCAACTCGCTGCGATGTTTCACTCAAATTCCCACTTTTGAAGGTCCAAAACTTGTTTGCTGTCGACCCGCCTGAAAAGCTTTTAACATGTTCTGGGTCCGATTCGGAAAATCCCCAAAGTTCCGACCCAAGAGTGTTTTCTTGTCCAAAGATCCCTCCCCAAATCGCGATCAATTGCCATTAGGGTTCTCTTCTCAACCCTTGGCCTGGCAACAAACAAACAAAAACTGGCTTGACCCCTACTAAAAATGGCAAAACAACCCCACAAAAAAAAACAACTCCAAAACAAAAAAAACTGGCCTGCAGCCCCTTGAAGGCTAGAAAACACGGAGAAAAAGCCGAGAAGCAAAACAAAAACAAAAAACACGGAAACCCTCCCCCCTCCCCTCCCCCCCCCTCCCAGGAGCCCCGGCCTTCCGGCGGCTCGGCAATCTCCTCGTCCGCTTCCGGGAGCTTCTCCACGCAGCTGGTGGGGAACCAGCCCCTGCGCCCCTCCAGCAGCCCGCAGAAGAGGCTCAGCGTGCCCTCGGCGAAAAGCGACCGCCCAACGAGAAAGCGACCCCCGAGCGCACGGCGAGCGCGCGGAGCGCGGAGCTCGGAGTGGTCGGAGTCGGGCCGCGGAGTTGGAAGCCGGAGTCGCTTGTTTTTTGAAGTCGGAGTCGGAAGGACCGAGAAAAAACGGGCCCTGAGGAGTTGTTTCTTTTGTTTCTTTCTTCATTTTTTTTGTGCAGGGGCCCAATTGTGAAGGACATCGTCTTGCAAAAAGCCCCTCGTCCACTTCCGTAAAAAGGAAGGTGCCCCTTTTGGGGCTATTGAAAACCGGATGTCCGAGGCAAGATTGATTCCTCACATGTTGCGGCCGAGCTTTCCATCCCACTACAAATTCAGGAACCTAAGCGGGGGTCTCCCTAAAAAAAATCTCCATGCAGCCCTATTGGCCATTGGAGGGCGGTCCTGTCTACTTTGAGCCGCGTGGATCTGTTTTGGTGTGTCTCTAACCTACCACCCTGGCCAGAAAACTCCCATCGGTATCTCCGAACGCCTCCCTTTAAAAAAGGAAGAAACAATTGGATATCCGTGAGTCCGGATTTCTTCCAACCGCCAGCTAGTAATATGCGCCGGGCATGTGCGGAGTGCTTCTCATATGCCAAGCATCTGCGCAGGCGTGCGACGTAGTGCGAGAGTTAAAGCCTCTTTTATACATCTCTGAGTGTGCCCTTTTTTGGGGGATCCCCTCCCAAAAAACACAAGGAAAAGGAAGAGGGGGAGTGCCTTTTGGCTTCCCTTTGAAGCCACCAATCAAGGGGTACGCGCAAAAAAATGGGAGACCCATATATACATGCACATAAACAAAGTGAACATCAAGCATGACCGACTGGTGCATCAAGGTGAGGCTTGAATGATTGAACGCTCGAGCCACAATTCTCTTGCACGCCACACTTTACTTGAATAACACGACAACCGATTCGTGTCAGCACCGATTCACTCAGGGTTCCGCGCACCCTCTGCACAGAGGTCTTGCGGCTAGTCGAAGCTGGGAATGCATTTCCAAGTTGAACCTGTTGGTGGACATCAAATGCTCCAGCACGCATGTCCAAGATTGTCCAAGCTTCCGAGCAGAGTTGGGCCAATCCCTTGTTCAAACACGCTTTGAATTTCAACCTCCTCTTGGTCTCCAATACAAACATGCATTTTTCACACCATCAGAACACCCCTTCCTGTGGCTGACTGCGAGTCATAAGCCAATCCCTTGTTCAAACCGATCAAAACCAAGGTCTGGTCTCAACAAAATTCCCGTCCCGAAGGCCAACCAAGGCCACCCGTTTCGGCCAGGGCTTCTCTTTGAAGCCGCTCCCCCCTCCTCCCCCCAAAAAAAGGGTACGCAAACAACAGCTACTCAATCCCTGTGTGTCAAAAAAAAAAACATCCCCCCATGAAGGGCCCTTCTGCAAAAAAAAAGAACAGAAAACGCACCTCTCCTCCCTCCTCCCCCTACTCCCCCTCCTCTCGCTCGCTCGCTTGCCGCTCGAGGCACGGCTTGGTTCTCCACCACGTGCTCGGGATGCGTGAGAACCACAACTTCCCCAATCCTCGCCGAGCGAAACGGCGCCCGTGGCGCCGGGGAGTCGACGAGTGGACGGTGGACCTCGACCAAGTGCTGGGCTGCCCGTTTCAGATCCTCCGCCCGCGAAAAGTGAGACTAGAGTGTGGGTCAAATGGAAACCCAACCACTAAACCCGAAAAAGCTAAAAAGGGCTGGGAGCCACCAAGTTTCTTGGAGTGATGTTGGAGGGAAGATGTGGAAACGCACCTGGAGGGGTCCGGAAAATTTGAGAACCCCAGTGCACTCAGCGGGTTCCAAGAATGAGGTTGGACAAATGGGCGGGGATACCAGGGAAGCGGGGATGTGCAAGGATTCCCTGTAAAGGAAACGGTGTATAAATATGACCCGACAAATATGTCCACATCCCTGCTTCCCCTGTATCCCTGCTACTTTGTTTGTCTGATTGCTGAAACAATCGTGAGTTTAACCAGGCAACATGTGCAAATCAAGGATCCAATAGGCCAGAGCTTGATTGCCCTAGAGAACCTCAAGCAAAATTTGCTGATGCATTGTTTGGCGTTTGGTTGCAACATAGGTCTGGCTCAATATTGAAGATCTAGGGTTATGCAGGCTTTAGTCCATTTCGGTACTCATAGGAAAAAAAGCCCAACCCACAGCACACCACCAAAGCCAAAAGCTTGCTGAAACTTGTTTTGCCGCAATGGCCCTAGTCAGCCTCGTGCAAAACTCATGTGATATCAACATGGATGTTCTTACTTCGACTAAACCTGTATGACCCACACCCAAGTCTTCTAAGATTCCCTCTCATATGGCTCGCCCGTGTTGGTAGAAGAGGCCCATCCTTTTTGAGGGCAAAGCCACCAGGAGAGTATTTATCCCAGGTTCCCTTTCCACAAAACCCAGGGTAGCGGGTAGCTTGTTTCCCAGCGACCCATCTGTTCCAACACGCCCGGACTTGGAGCTACCATAAACACGTGTGCATCAGAGTACCCTTTTCGAGACGGAAAACCGAGCTTGATCACCACCAGAAACTGGGTTCCATATCTGAGACTAACCCAAACCAAAAGGGTAATGTGCTTATGCATCCCCTGGCTCTCACCCGTGCCCATAAGGATGCTCTATGGCGAGCAAAAAACAAAAAAACACATTCGAAGGTGTCCGTCTCCTTTGGAACACTGGGTCTCAACATTTGGGATGTCTCAAAGTAGGATCCCTTTAGTTTCCCTCTCAAACCAGAGAAAAAAATGTATGGAGCCTCAAAAACCATTTCGCATTTGGTCAAAGATTGGAAAACTTTCCAGGTGCTTCCGAGTACCAGTATGGTACGGGAAAGCCATGCATGGTAAGACCAGACTTAGACCCGCTGAACAAGTGGGTGTTTTTTTGTTTGGAATCTGTCCCCCAAAATGGCGCAGCGACTTCCCGCCAAAACCCACAAGAACAGTTCTAGGGTTACCCTCAAAAGAAGAGACCCCCCTTTTTGTGGGTCTCAAAGAAGAACCATCAGGAACGCCGAAGCCACGTCAGGTCCCAAAAGCAAGACCGACCGCGTAAAGAAAGAAAAAGAAGCAAAGCCTCCAAAGGAAGCCCCCCCCACCTGAACCTCGACTCGCCTGGGCTCGAAATCGACAAAAAATCCACGGTGCCGGCCTGAGCTCGAGGTAGTCCGCCACGCCGCCGGAGGTGAAGTCCTCAAGAAGCGCCAAGCGCGGGGCGGGGACGTGGGACTCCGCTGCTGTGATACTGTGGACGGTTGCGACATCCATTTCGAACCGAAGGAACCCTGGTTTCTGAGGATTCCCCTGTAATTTTCAAGAAACAATGGTTTCAACCATGGTTTCCAAGTGGTGCAGGAATTTGTCCATCCACAGTACCACAAAAATGGGCTTCCCAAAAGACGAGTCCACCTAGGTCCTCCAGTAGAGAGGTTAGAATCAGGGTACCCGATGTATTTTTCTGTGGTCTATCTTAGTGGAACCCTCCCAACCAAAAAAAGGTGAGAAAGGAAAGGCACTACTGGGGGACCTAGCCACCATATAAAAGGGAAAGATGCCCGAAGGTATCACAGAAGCGGTTGGATCAACCCCTTGATCGATCCCACAAGCCTGGTCAAGCGGGGGCCAGGTTCCCGAAAAAGACCCGTGAGTGGTTCATTGAGAGGCTCGTTCCATTTTGGACCATCGGAGCCGGCGCAATGGATCGTCAGACAGCACCCCGAAATGTTCGACCGCAACTCGAAAGGGAAAACCCCACCTTACCGACTTAAAACTCCAAGGATTGGGGAAGTTCATCTTTTACAGACATATAGCCCATGTTGCCCAAAAAGTTGAAAAGTTGTGTTTTTTAAGAGGTAAGCCCCACTTTTCTGACTTACTACCCAGGATCTGATTGAAAACGCTTCGACCGCACTAAGTCAGACGGCACGTAAGGGGCTCTTAAAACGGACGCAGATAGTGTTTTTTCTCTTTTGCGTGGGGGATCCCCGTTGCGAAAAGCCCTGCGCCGGTTCAGCGGGGCCTTGACCCAAGCAACCCTTGGAAGGCCGCAGTAGTAGAAGTTACTGTGAACTGAGCTGCAAAAGGAGGCGGTTGCAACCAATGCCCTTGCAAACCAATGGGTCTGTCTTATTGCCCTTTTGGCTTCCCTGTAAAACATACCAAAAAGAAGTAGCCTCCCAAATTAACACGGAATCTGACTTTTGCGGGTCCCTTTAAGAAGAAAATGGTCCAAGCCAGGACCCCCCGAATGCCAGGTTCCATGTGGAAAGGGTGGGAGGGGTATATCATATATCTGTAATGTGAGCCATATGTATCAACCCCAGTAGGGTGATTTTGGCCTTTCCAAAAGTGGTCTGATTCCTGTCAGTCATTGGTGGGAGATGGTACCCTCAAAAACTTGCTGGTGCTCAGGGAATGAGAAATGGAATCACCCCGACAAAAACCATATCCAATGGTTTCCTTTAAGGGGACCGAATCCTGGGTTCAATCCAACTCCTTCCCCACCTATCGCACCAGCACCATCCCCAATGGCAGGAATCAGACCACGTTTGCAGAAACCAAAACCCTATTAAAAAACCGGGTGTTGACTAGGTCCTCCAGTAGAGAGGTTTTGTTCGATACCCTTTTTCCTGTAGTCTATCCAAGTGGGGGAACCCTCCCCCAAAAAAGGGTGAGAAAGGGCACTACTGGGGGACCTAGTTGATCACCCGCAAGAAAAACGCCGGGACCCCCCCGGGACCGTGGACCCCGCGTCCACCCAGCCCGGCGCCTTGACGACGCGCACCCGAGGACCGCAGGGGGGGTCCGGCTCCGGCTCCGGCCGGACCCAGCCCTCACGCGAAGAGGAGAGACCAACGAGCCCATCCGCCTTCCCCGCTTGGATCGTCCTTGTCTTTCGTTGGGCCGCTTTTGGAGCGCCTTCTGTGGGGAAAATCTGGAAGAAACAAAACAAACGTGGGTTTCCTTTGGGGAAAAACTGGAACACCGCCTCGTGGTGCGGGCCTTTCTTCTTGGAAAAACGGGCATACAAAGTTTCGGACGTGTCATGTCTGGGGGGTCTCCTGTCATCCCAAGCATGCTGCGGTTGGTTCCATGGCAAAGGCGATGAAGACTTCGGCATAAAAACAGATTTCCACCCCCCCCCCCCAACATGCAGCATTTCAAGACCGTGTGTCACCTGGTCTTCTTGAGCAATGGTTGGTAAATCAGGGAGCAAGTATCCGAGGGCATGCGAGATACCCTCCTGCCATGTGCGATAGGTGGGGAAGGAGTTGGATTGAACCCAGGATTTGGTCCCCTTAAAGGAAACCATTGGGGATGGTTTTTGTCGGGGTGCTTCCATTTCTCATTCCCTGAGCACCAGCAAGTCTTTGTGGGGGAGGGTTCCCCCACTTGAATAGACTACAGGAAAAAGGGTATCGTAATTCTAACCTCTCTACTGGAGGACCTAGTCAACACCCGGTTTATTAAACGGGTTTTGGTTTCTGCAAACGTGGTCTGATTCCTGCGCAGACGATGAAATCTCGGCTTTTGGAGAGGAGCTCTGTGCAAGCCATGCTTGGTGGAAGGGTAGGGTTCAGCCAATGTTGGGATGTTCTCCCACGGGTGGTCCTTTTTGCCCCGTTTGCGCAAAGGAATTCCCTGAAAACGCACAGCCCGGGTCCATGAAAGATCGGACATCTTGGATTATTAAACTGGCCTTGGCTGATTCTCAGGGACTAACTGGCAACATGAAAATGGCCCGCTGTTCGAAGAGAAACAGCAAATACGTTCTCTTCAACATCACCCCACCAAAGTCATCTAGACTTGGGCCCAAAGGTCATGTTTAAAACCAGCGAAACTGGAATACAAAAAGCAACACTGGGTGTTGGATATGGGGACTGCTGTTCCGTAGTTCCTGGGCTGGAATTAGGACCCCAGCAAAAAAGATTATCATTTTTGCCTGGTTAGTGGAAAACAAAGGGACCCCAAAAGGGCAAAAGAGCGAAAAGGGGAGCTAATTCTGGCAAAGGTTGATGGGAACCCCGAGTTAGCTGATTGCTAGGTGGTTTATTTCTCGGAGCCCCGCGGCTCGGAGGTGCCCCCTTTCCAACGGCCTCGCCAATCTAAGCCAAAGAGTTACCCTGATTCAACTCACTGGAGAGAACACCCCCAACACGAGCGGGAAACAGAAAGAAACGCCCGCATCAACTCACCCCAACAAAAAGTCCAAAATCGAAAAGGACAGTGAGGCCGTTTTTAGCGCCGCCTGCGTCTGTGCCGCCTCGGCCACACCTGAACGAATTGGGTGAGCGATTCAGTCTAGGGAAAACTGGGAGGTTGATTCAGTCTATTGCGTTCGGCCCAAACACTGATGCGTATCTTTCCCTATGCGGAAGTCATCTTTTTTGGTGGTTTCCCTAAGGCCCTAATGGTCAATTTGTGCGGGGGATGAAACTCTGGGGAAGAACCAGCGACTTGCTGGATTCTGGCAAGCCCCTTCAAAGGATCAGCATATCACCACCTCTTCAATGAGGTCCATGTCTTTCCGCGTCTGTGCGACCTCAACGGACAATTTGGGTCTGTGTCCACATCGGGAGCCCGAAAACCCCGAAAATGATGTGCCTCCCTGTTGTTTCCCTTGAAACCAGGGTACCTTCGCCTCGGCCCACTGGCATACACAGAAAGTACAAGTATCGTTTCAGATTCTGGTCCATATTCTGTCTGCCCTGAGACCCCAGGCTCCCGCCAGCTATGCCGAACTCTGGGTGGGGGGGCCAAAGAATTCACCGGCCAGAAATCTTTAAAAAGGAGCTAAGCTTGACAAACGAAATCGGTCGCAAGGCGAAACCTTGATCATTAATTTCGAGATTGAAGTGGGCTCAAACCCCTCTCACAGCATGTTTCAGCCTTCCAAACAAAGACACACCAGAAGTTACTTTCCATGTCACTTGGCAACTCTGGGCCTTGCAATATCCCGAAGTACCGCAGACCTCAGATCGGATCATGTCCAGATGGATAGCTTAAGAAAACACCCCGATGTAAACCGGCCAGTTCTCGCCCAGTTGCTGCAAACGACCCCGGGAAAGAAGAATGGGGAACCGTCTTTTTGGGTGGTCCGTCTTGAAATGTTCACCCACCTGTGGTGGCAAAAAGGGGCAGGTTCCTCGAAATGTGCTGACCATCCCCACCCGTGCCTGTGGACAGGTGGGTGCCTGGAGGGGTAAATCAGTTGCGCACATGTCTTCCGTCTTCCTTTCTTTAGCTCACCAAAGCGCAGTGAAAAAAAAGCGCCCAGCACCTTCCAGGAATGTCACTGGATTGTGCTCGGACGTTTTTTGTTCCGTTCCCCAAGAAATGGGAAACGCGCTCTTCGACACGGTGGTAGTGTTCACCCCATTTTGTTTCAACCCCAGCTTCTTTTGGGGGAGGTCCCTGGGTTTAGTGGGGAATCATCACTTCTGGAGGGGCCCCCACCGCCCTGTCAATAAACTGCAGGGGTTGAGTGATACTGTGGATGGACAAAATCCTGCATCACTTTGAAACCATGGTTGAAACCATTCTTTGCGGTATTTACAGGGGAATCAAACAATTCCAGGGTTTCCGAGGTGCTGCGAAACGGATTTCGCAACCACCCACAGTACGGGGTCAACATTACTTACCCCTTGAAACTCCAAGCCCTGGGGAAGTGTTCATCGTTTACAGACATATAGCCCATGTTACCCAAGAAGTTGAGAAAAGTTTTGTGTTTTTAAGAGGTAAGCCCCACTTTTCTGACTTACTACCCAGGATCTGATTGAACACGCTTCGACCGCACTCCCAAGTCAGACGGCACGTAGAGTCAAGCCCACATGCAATCCCGCAGGCCCCGTCCAGCCGCCTTGAATGCCGGGCGCTGTCCTTGGCGCTTGGACAAACATCCCCGAGACAAAAAAGCAACACCTGGTGATTTGTCTGTCTTCCGGGGCTTAGCTGAGACCCAAGCGAATGTTCAATGCCTCACTTGCCCAAAGGACCTGGGAATAAAATAACCTTTTGGGACCTTTACTAAAAATGGACCAAAAAGGGAAAACCAAAAGGTCAAAAGGTCGGCTTTGAACAACTGAGATGCATGTTGAGTCCAAGTTTACCAGTGCGCCAGATTTGGACTGGGCAAACCAAAGGCAAAAACGCAAAAAGTTGCCCAGGTGAGCTAAGTCGGGAATGGCGCCAGCGATCCAAACCTCGCCCGATTATTGAATCCCCTAACAACGGGCCCCCTGGAGTACTGTCGACCTGCTGGCCGAAAAAAATGGTCCCCAAAGCCACCCTAAATTGAGTATTCCCTAATTTGGTCACCCAGGGATTGATGCCTGGGCAAAAAACATCCTGAAATCGTTTTGTTTTATTCTTCCCCTAAAGGAAGTGATTTCACTGCTGGAAATATGTTTTTTCCTGGGGATTGAGGCTTTTGGTGGGTAAATCCCAGGGGAAACCAAAAACAACTCACTGGAAAAGGATGCATGTGGTGTTCAAGACCCTTTGTGTGTCAGCTTCTCTTCAACATATAGGCCAATCCATTTTCCTTCTGGAAAGACTCCTGTCACCTGGATGGATTTGTCTGTTTGCTTCTTTTTTCTTTTTGAGAAGACCAACCGGAAATACGCGGTTTAGGGTTTAGGGTTTAGGGTTTAGGGTTGAGGGTTTTGGTTTCAAAGAGAACACCGAAGCCATTTTGGGGGGTCCCCCTACAAAGAGGCACACCCGTTTAAGTTTATGACTTGCCGTCCCGTCCCTAGTGACTCCTCTTTTTTCCTTGGGCATTCTGCTGGGATGAGGCCAACGAAACCCCATTTCAAGATAAGCCCACAAGTTCCACTTGTTTTTGCGCCCCCCAGGAAAGAATGGAACATATGTCCAGTGCAATCGATTCCTGGTACGACCAAAAAGGGAAAGTCTTCATTTCAGCAAACGGAAGTTGTTCTGACTGTTGCTGGGAGGTTCTTAAAGTCGGCGGGTTTGTTTTCCTGCAACCTGTGGATGGACGAAATCCATTTCGCACCACTTTGAAACCATGGTTGAAACCATTGTTTGTTGATACTTACAGGGGAATCATCAGAAACCAGGGCTTCTTAGGTGGTGCGAAATGGATTTCGTACATCCACAGTACCACCTTAGGGAGAACCCGTGTCAAGCTACTTCCGTGCCGCCAGTGCGCGATGTCTCGCAGCTCCGCCCACCCCAGGCACTTGCGTCCGACCAGTCCGCGTGCCTGGGGCGATTGAACGGCCCGGTTTTGGGGAAGCCGTGGGACCTGCGATTTGTGGCCTGCGGGCTACGGTAGATTGACTTCCACAGCAACCATCCAGACCTAAATGTCCAATTCGTTGCATGCCTGTCAAACGGAAAACCGCCTTATGTGCGCTTCGGAAAAAAACGCTGACCTCGGCCTGAGGACCCGATCCGCGTGACCTATGCCAGGGTTTCTCCATTTCCCTTTGTGGAACCTCCAGAAGTTGCATGTTCGATGGACACAACCAATGACACAACCAACCTTTTTACGGGGACATCCAGTGACCCCTATACAAGTCCCAACGCAGAAAGGAATCAACGTGACCCCAAGCGCGCGTGAAACACTCAGCAGCATCCGTGGAGTTCGATCCCATGTGTTCCCCAACAGCTTTCCCCTTGCGACCCACCAGGACCAAAGCTTTTGGGCATTTAACTGAGCTGCTTTCCGCGCTCAAAAAAGAAAAGAAAACGTGGTGTGACTCACAGGCTGGAAAACAAATATGACGGATCCACGTTTGTCCAATTTAAGGCGTGGGGCAGCCAGTTGACCAAACCGCCAGGGTCGAAACTTGGTCATGGGCCCCTCCAGTTTTCCTTGACTCTTGAAATCCCCGGTGGCAAATCTGGCCAGGTGCTAACAAACGGGCGGTCCTGAGGTTTCCATAAGACGGCTTGAGCGATTTGAAGCGCCCCAACTTTGACGGTCCGACTCGGTCTCAAAAAATTATCCTGTCCGAGCCTCGCGTTACCCCATACCCATTGCCTCCGGGTGGGTTAAAAAGCAAATAGGGCCAGGGCTCAGTAGGCCCCAGTGGTCGAAGCCATCTCTCAGGTCAGCAAACAGCTTTGATCTTCGAAGAACCTCACACAAAAAACGAGAACAGAATTGGCTGTGGATCCAAAATCGGGTAACCCCTCCAATATCCAATATGGGTTGCCCTAAATGGAACTGAGGATTAAAATTCCTGCGGTCCCCTGTGGATTTTATCTTTGACCCATACCCAACTAACAACAAGAAGTCCTGGCCAACGGGTTTTTGCGGCATCCTGTCAAAGAAATAACCCAGGGGTCAATCCATCCCAACGCTTGAAGGGTGAACATCTCGGGACATCCTTGGCTCCTCAGTGATCCCCTTGCAAGACAAGAGGGTCAACACAAGAAGGGTCCTCTGCTCTCCGCTCCACTCTAGTCCCTCACTTCCTTGTGGATTTTGACTAGGTCCTCTAGAGAGGTTAGAATAAGGGTACCCCCGTTTTCCGTAGTCTAGCGGAACCCTTGAACCCTCCCCCAAGAAGAAACGCAAGCTGGGGACGCAGCTAAACAAAACTCCAGGTGAAGCGACAAGCCCAAGCTTCCCCGGTCTCCAGGGCGCCGGCTTGGGCCGTTCGTCTGGCCTGAGCGAAGTCCGGACGGAATGAAACGGAGGAGTCCCTCATTCCCATACAGAAGAAAACGCAAAGGATGTTGGGGGGGGGGGTGAGCTCTGGTTCTGCTAGCGACAGGGGCCAACTATTTCAGAAAATGCTCTTCGAGAGACGTTTTGGGACGCTTTAAGCGGGGGAATGCTGTCTGGCTTGAGAAGATGACTTAGACAGTTCCCCCTGCCTTCCAAATAGACCATACACAGAACTCAAAATATTTGGACCGAAGGCAGAGATGTGTCTTACAGGACCCACCAAAACCAGCTGCGGAAGCTTTCGCTCTGCTGTCCGTTTCTCTGCCGCCCGAAGTGGGATTCCCTTGGTCCCACAACCCTTGGTCTGTTCGTTTTGTGCAGTCTCCTAACAACTCGAGCAGAAAACAAAACAGAATACAACAACAAGTCAACTTGCTCCAGGAACCCGAAAATTAGCGGGCCTCGACCCGGTTCCTTTGAGAACAAGAAAGAAACGGCTCGCTTCCTTCGAAAAAAGGGGGGGGAACGATGAAAAACAATGGGAAAAAATTGAAAAAAAAACACGATTAAAAAACAAGTGAAAAAAGAAGGAAAAAAGCAACGGCTCGCTTCCTTGGGAAAAAAAAGAAGGAAACAAAAGAAAAAATGAACAAACACAAACGACACCAACATATAAATAAATGAATATATATATATATAATGATATATATGTTTGAGAAAAATGGGGAAAAACTCGCTTCATTCGAAGAAAAGAAGAAGAAGACCAAAAGTGGAGAAAAAAGGGGAGGAACAGAAGGAGAACACAAAAAACCGCGGCTGCTTCGTCTCCGAGCAGCTCCGTCTCCGAGTCCGAGGGCGCCGGAGTCGCCGGGCCAACCTTCCGGGGGGTCGATTTTTCGGGGGGGCGCGGTCGGTGGGTCCGCGGCACGGTCCCCTTGTTTGGGAGGAAACAGGCTGGTTTAAAAAAACAAAACAAAAGTTGTTTTTAATATTTTTTAATGGCACTTGTTGTGCCAGAGATGACCAATTGCGAAAAACCGCTTCAAAACACGTGTGACACAGCTTTCGCCTCCGGGTTGTTTTTCTGTTTCTTTTTTTAACAGCCTGTGACCTCTTTGGAGCCTCCACAAATGGCCCGGGACCCAAAGCCAGGAACTTCCCATGCAGCGTGCTTCTAGCTGGTCTGGAGCTGAATGGCTTGGTAGGGCTACCCTCTAAGCCAGGGCTTCAAATCCAAATCCAAACCAAGCCAAACCGCCGTCCACGGGTTACCTCTTGTTCTCTAAACCCTGCTTTAAAAAAAAGCTCTGCGTGAATAAAAGAGTGGTGCTTCCGGGGAAGCCACCAAACAAATTGCGCATGGTAAGGTTTCACAGATCCGGTGCAGCAACATACTCGATGCTTCAAACCAGGCGAAATGTAGAGATCCCTGAAGGCATCTCCAATCTAGAAGAGACGAGCAACACTGTGTCCGCCGAGTAACTGATTTGAACATCAAACCAACTCGCTGCTTGAAGATCCACATGGGTGTGGTTCCTTTTTGAGGGTACACCTTTTGGAGAGGTTTCAACAGGAGGAAGCCAACAGGAAACTATGTTTGGAGGGTTCCAGCCTTTGGGAACAACCAGAGTCTTGGGAAGAACCGATAGCAGAGAAGACCCCAGACAGATCGCCGCCTCAAAAAGCCAAGCATGAGTCATGGCGAGTCGAACCAGGGCATTCTGCCATTAGACTGTCAGAGCCGAGCCAAGCAGACAAGGAGTAGCGGGGGCCACTAGGACCAAAAGAGACATAGAAGTGCCGACTTCAGAAAGTCCAAACCCAAAGCAGAGCCGCACGAGCCCTAACACCGCGAAGAAGGGCATCAGGGAGAATGTTGCACAAGGGGAGATTGCACACGTAACGCACACCAAGATTCTGCGTGGGGCATGGGCGGCAAAACCACACCCGGCCGAATGCGCTATTCCCAGAAAGGGACCGGTAGAGCTCCCCGCATTCGCGCCTGCATTACGCGCTCCCAGAAGACGCAGCCGCCACAAGGACGAGCAACGAGGGGACAGTCGTCAGAGACGATCACTCCAGGGCAACAAACCCAATTCGACCAAACCTAGAGGCCACAAGGACCACCCCGGAGAAGCCAGCAAGAGAGTGGGACAGGGAACCTGTCCAATAGGGTCGGGGGCACAGGAAGCCACCCACGAATGAGAGCAGAGCTGTCACAGAGAGCCAGCGGGGAATTCATCAAACAGACAGAGATGACACCGAAGAGCCAAGAAGAAATGGAGCAGCAGCGATGGAAAACATCGACCCAAAAGGGTCGAGCACCGCGCCCAACTTCAAGGCAAAAGGACAACTATCACGCACGAAATCCAGAACAGAGACGAGCCGAACCAAGGAGAGCCAAGTACCCAAGCGAGCAACCACAATGTTCTAAGCAAGAAGGTCGGTGGGCCTTTTGTAGCTTTCTTTGCGCCATCCAAAAGGTCTGAGGCCCACGCGTCTTGCGCGCACCTTAGACTAAGACGTGACACCCACAGATTCTCGTAAAGCCAAGAGATGGTCCGGACAATAAAGATGATCCCGCTGCTTGCTTCTGGCGCCTCAATTTCAGCCCACGCCATGAATGCACCTGCTTCCAAAATGGAATCATCAAGGGCTTCGGGTGTAAGATTCTAGGCCGGATGGCGAGCGGCGAGTGGCACGGATCGCTAAGGTCACACCAAAGACCCGCCGTTTCAAATACAAACCTTCTCATGGAGATCAAAACCCCTCCAATGAAGGGCTCAACGATGCTTTCATGGGGGCTACGGGGGGAGGGAGGGGGCCCAAATAAGCCTTTATTAAGCCCTATAAGGTCTTATTTAGGGCTTATTTGGGCTCCCTCCCCCTCCCCTCCCTCCCCCCCAGCCATCATGATGCTTGTGGTCATGTTATGCAAAAGCCAAGGCGTCCATTCCCAGCGCCCATGTCCTGCGGCCGGAATCCCAGAAAGGCCACAACTCTTCTCCAATGTCCCGCGTCCATGATCAACGATTCGTCCAACCCAACAGGTCGCGCCATTAAAAAGAAAAGAAGGCGGAGAAGAAAAAAAAGGGGGACAAAACAAAGACGCTGGGTGGGCGCCCTTAAACCATCTCTTCGTTTTGCCCGGGGAATAAAAACTCTTCGACGGTCTGAAGAACTCCCCCCCGGGCGCCTCAGGCGCCAGCCAGCTCCGGGGCTCCTGGCCGCGGCTTTCTATGTTTTTTTCCGCGCGCCGGGGTCTGGGAATGGACCAGGGAAACTTCTCGGATCGGAATGGGTCAACCAGGGGAGCGTCTCGGAAGGCCAAGAAAAACAGGCCCCACCCACAAAACCCTTGGAGGGGGGCTGGGGGGGGGGGGGGGGGAAGCTTTTTGGGTGGTTGGGGGTTGATCAAAAAAACAGGTGCTTCTTAGAGCTGGGGAAAAAAAGGGAGAAAATGAGGATATGCCCCACGAAATGGGTACCCGTCATGGTCATTTGGGGGCCAGGAGTATTGATCAAGCCATGTATCGAAAGAGCGAACAACCCCCCCAAGAAAAAAAATGTCCGGTTAGTTTCCATTCAAACCAACCTGAAAATGGTCGAAAAGCACACACACCCTCATCAGTTCTGATTCTAGTCGAACGCCTACGTTGGGGGAATTCCCCTGCCTGAGCAAAGCCAACAGGAAATACACTTTTTGGGGGTGTACCCCAATTTGCAGCCACCCCACCAAAAAAATCCTGAGTTGGCGACTTTAGCATAGGGTCTTTTTGGGGGCCGCTGTACCTCCATTTGCTTGAGTCCTCTGGACAACAAAAAAACATTTCCAGTAGTGATAGATTCCCTTTAAAACCAACAGGAGAAAGAAAACATATTCTTAACCAAATGGAAGTGTAGGCAGGGACAAAAAGGGGCACAAGGCTCCGTGGCCCTTCCATTGTGCAGGCACGGAGGGGGAGAACCTCCAGGAGCCGCCAGCACCGCTCCAGCGGGGTCGTGGTTCGGGTTGTTTTCAAGGGGTACCTGAAAGGTCCGGGCCCGCTGCAGTGGAGGGGTCATGAGCCTTAGGGTAGTTGGACCACCGCCCACAGCCGCCCGTGCAACCGAAAAACCGACAAAGATGTTTGGGGAATAGTTGGTCCTCCCGAACATTGCCTGCAAAATGGCCATTCACCAACAAACAAAACCTGTCCAGGATTTGGGCGAATGTCGTTGGTGGGTCCCAACCATTAAACTCCATTTCGGGATGCACCCCTCTCAGTCCGAGTCGCCCCCGGCACTGACCAGGAGGTCTGCGCCGGCTCTTCCTCAGGTCTCTGACCGTCGAAAACGTTCAGTGGCTGAGTGGAAGCTACGAAGCCAAAGAAAGATGTTCGATAAACCTAAGGGGATGGATGGAACTTTTCACCCAGACTCATAGCACCCTCCCGGATCGCGCCCAACGGCGCCTTTTCGAGGGCAAGGGCCCAACTCCTCTGCCCATGAAAAAGCTCACTCTCCATTCGACATTGGCCCAAAAATTGCGGACACACACTTCGTGCTTGCTAAAATGGTCCGAGTCATAATCAAACCCGGCCGGTATTAACATGGTAGGGACCCAGAAGCAGGCAAATAATTAAGGTGGCGAAGACACCCATTACTGGTCCTTTGCTCACCTTCATTCTGGCTTGAGTGGGTACAGTCCAGCAACTCAGGAAGTCATAGAAAGCAGCTAGGCTTCCATTGGCCAAACACCCACAAGCATTTCCTGCGCTGGTTTCTTAGACAAAGGGAAGCTGAGCCAAAACAAGAGGGTGTTTTTTTTCCCGTTTGAGGTTGGATCGTCCCCCAAAATGGACTTCGGTTTGGTCTCTTGGATTCCCTTCAAACCAACAACAGGGCTCCTGGCTCCTGGCTCTCAACCACGCCTCGGAACGCTTCCGGCACCACTCCTCGCCTATCTGGTTCTATGGACCCCATGGCTTCCAGCTGTTGGGGGAAAAAGAAAAACGGAATAGCACCACCAGGGTTCTGGGCATAGGTGTCCGTTTTGGAAGATAGATGGGTTTCCCTGGTAGATGATTGAACCACCAGGTAAACCAGGAATCGCCCTCACTTTTTAACCAAACCAACCAAAAAGGACACCTATGGTTCTGGGTGTCCCTACAAGTCCGAATGGATTTCGGTCTTTCCTCTCGGTTTCTCGTTACACCAACCCAAAAGAACAGGGGTCTTAGAAACAAAAACCGACCCAAGAAGGAAAAAACAAAAGCGAAACCGCGGTCTCTCAACTGGTCCGAGTCCCGAATCCCTGAGCCAAGGCGCCGCTTTCGACCAGGGCGGAGATACCACTGGCGGCTCTTCCTCAAAACGGGAAGAGCGGGGCCCGGGGTGTGTGGCGAGGTGTTTTTGAGGCCGCCCTTTTTGTTTGCTGGCGGGCAAAAAGTGAAGGACTTGTTGTGGGTCCGATCCGGATATCCACTGTTTCCCAAAACTTAAAGTCCGAAGCTCCAACCAAATAGCCACAACGTTTGGGGCAGACACATAATGGATAAGATGGCAAACGTGCCCGAGCTTTCGGGGACGGGTGTGAAGACTACAAAGCGTCAACTTGCTGTTGTGCCATACCGGATCCGCCCTCTAGCCACCGGCCACTGCCTGGAAAGGGGGTGAACGCAAGGCAGGGAACAAGGAAAAAGGAAGGGAAAGGAATTGATCTTCACAATGCGCTGCAAGAGGGACCAGTGTCCGGAAGCTCATCTAAATGGATCCCTGGCGAGGGTAAGATGAGCAGAAGGGAGGGAAGCAGGACAAGGAAAGCATCGCTCCCTGCATTGCAAAAGGGGAGAGTTCCCGTGTGAAGCAAAGCAAGATCATCCATATGTTTTTGGTACGTGGTCCAAATGCCACATGCACCCAGGCCGGGTAGGGGAAGCCGGGGAAGCGCTTGTTTTGAGGGCTCCCAATTGCCGGAAATCAAAAGCCGTGGTGAGTCACTGCCAAACCCTTTGTGGTGTTGTTCAGAAAAACAAAAATGCTTTGCTTGTCTGGGTGGTTTTCACGCCGGGGGTGGGCAATCGTCGAATTTTCTCCAAAGGGTACAAGGTGACCCGGGTGACCTTCCCGTAAAAGCGGATCTGATGGATCAGATAAACGTGGCAACGTGGATCCATCCTTCAAAGAAGGACGCGGCCCTTACACAAATGGCCATGGCTCAAAATCCAAATCGTACCCCAGTGAACATCCGATTCAATCCAACCACTAAAATTGGCTCTAAAATGGGTGGTGAATTCACCTACCAACCAAAACGGGATCCCAAGACGGTCTTGCCCAACGGCCAAGACATCTTGGTCTCCACGAATCTCGCCAGGGCCTTCTGAAGGCCCAGGAGATTCGATCAAAACCATGCTCACCATAGATCCAAGCAAGCGAATGCGCGTGAACCAATGCGAATCCATGCGAGGCGCTTTGGTGCTGGTTCGGATGGCTGAGTTCCCATTTCTAGGCAACAGTTCACGGCTGGTTCAGCAAAGAAGCATAGGTTCATACCTCATATACGGGCATATTTGTTCAGCCGTTCCTTCGAATAGAACATTCGTGTCGAAAAAGAACTCGTGGTGTTGCGGTGTTGGGAGGGAGCATCCCACCCAGAGCACCCGCGGGTGTCCCTCTTGCCTCGGTCTTGGTGGGAAAGTTGCAAGATGCCGATTCGCTTTTCCGTCGCCCCTTCCAACCAAACTCCCAGTTAGCTTGCTCGAAGCTGTCACCTCCCCCATTTGCCTCTTGACACCTGCCAAACGAGCCCGCCCGGGCGTCCCTAAAACGCCGGAAATTCCTGGAACCCTCCTTTTGAGCCGAAGGCTGCCACCCAATCCACCACGAATGCGGGTCCCCCATCCCCCATCCAACTCCGTGCCGAGCCACGCTTTCCGGGGACTCCCGAACAGGTGAGAGCGGCTCCTGAACATCTCTGGCAAACATCTGGCACACCATGTCGGAAACCCCAATCTTTTAAAGGTGATGACGACCATCATCATGATGATGATAAGGATGATGTTGATGATGACTGTGATGATAACTATCATCGTAGCATCCCCTGCATCGCCAATACTGTCTAACGTCCCTTTTGAAATGTATATAAGAATAAGAAAGATATGATGATGACCATCATGATGATGAGAAGATCGATGATGATGATGATGACGACCATCATCATGTTGATGATAAGGATGACGCTGATGATGACTGTGATGATAACTATCATCGAAGCATCCTCTGCATCACCAATGCTGCCTAATAAGAGATGATGATGACCGTGATGAAAATGATGATAAGGATGAGGACTGTGATGATAACTATCATTGTAGCATCCTCTGCATGACCAATGCTGCCTAATAAGAGATGATGATGACCGTGATGACAATGATGATAAGGATGAGGACTGTGATAATAACTATATCATCGTAGCATCCTCGGCATCACCAGTGCCGGCTCATAAGAGATGATGATGACCATGATGATAATGATGATACGGATGAGGACTGTGATGATAACTATCATCATAGCATCCTCTGCATAGCCAGTGCTAACCATGATGATAATGATGAGAAGGATGAGGACTGTGCTGCCTAATAAGAGATGATGATGACCATAATGATAATGATGATAAGGGTGAGGACTGTGATGATAACTATATCATCGTAGCATCCTCGGCATCACCAGTGCCGGCTCATAAGAGATGATGACCATGATGATAATGATGATAAGGATGAGGACTGTAATGATAACTATCATCATAGCATCCTCTGCATCGCCAGTGCTGACCATGATGATAATGATGAGAAGGATGAGGACTGTGATGATAACTATCATCGTAGCATCCTCGGCATCACCCGTGCCGGCTAATAAGAGATGATGATGACCATGATGATAATGATGATAAGGATGAGGACTGTGATGATAACTATCATCGACCCTATATTTTTCACCCCCCCCCCCAAAAAAAAAAGTACCCCAATCATCCCCCCGGCATGGGTCACGTTTGTGGAATCTCGACTCGAGTTCCGTGTCCGGCCTTCTGCCTCAGCGGCGAAGGTGCAGGCCTCGGGGAAAGAGTTTCACTTGGGTCGCTGCCATATGGGTCACAATCAAAACCCGGTATTAAAATGGTCGGAATCCCAGAAGCATGTGAAGAGTTAAGAAGGCGGCCGCAACTATTTCTGTCTGGGACTGCCGCTTACTAGCCTTCATCTACCCGGGCTTTGATTGTGGCTCATATCGGGGTTTCTCAAAACAAGGGACCTTTTTCGGACGGGCTCATAAGGAAGCCGAACAAAAAAAGACCTAGCTGGAGGGGTTGCCAGTTTTCAGAAACACCCAGATCTGCCTATGCGCCATGATCCAAACTCCGTTTGTTGGGCGCACGGTCATGGATGATGGCTAAGGATCCTTATCAGGATGGCCAACCAGGAACCAGTCTTCTGACCATGGCAATCTGTCTTCTTCGCCAGCGTGCCATGGATGATGTTTGTTAATTTGGGCGGGGGGGGACTTTTTTTTTCGGAAAGGGGGGATTTGCCACCCTGGGCGAGGTGCTGCTGGAGCCCACCCTGACCACGCTGGGCAACTTCCTGGTGCGCTCCAAGAGCCAGAGCTCCGTGGCCTCTGCCAGCTTCACGGTGGGAGGCTTCGAGCTGGAGGGCTACGCCATGACCCTGAGCGCCTCCGCCCACATCGTGCGCACCTACACCCTCACGCCCGGGAGACGCTACTCCTTCGGCTGCCAGCATCGGCTGGGCACGGCCTCCAACCTGGTGATGTACGTCAGCGCGGCCGACAACGACTACGTGGGCGTCACCGGCACCTTCCTCGGCACGCCGCGCAGGGAGTGTGGAGCACGGCGCGCCTGGACTTCTCGGTGCCCCCGGGCGGAGTCGCAGAGCTGCGCTTCGGCGCCTTCGGCGGGTCGGTCCCCGGGCTAGTGCAGCAGTCGGCGGGCACGCTGGACCTGTACAGTCTGCAGATCAGGGCCACTGCCTTCGAGGGAGACTCCGTGACGGACCTGCTGGCCGACTCGCTGGCCCTCACGGGCATGGATGATGTTTGTTAATTGCAGAGCCAGCGCAAGCGCGTACTTCAAGCCCTTCAGGCCCCTCCCTGGCGGCTCCATCGTTGCTGCCTCCAGCATCTTCACATGCCTTGCAAGGAGTTTCCCCAGCTTCCAGCAGCTGCCGTACTTGCGTGCCCGATCCCCAGCCTGGCGCGCCATCTGACGGCTGCTGCTCGACTGCAAGCCACCGAGCTGCCTGACGGCCGAAGCCTCTTTCCAAAAAAATGCCCGCATACATGGCACGAGTGTGTCTCACTTCCTGAGTGGATTGGCCCAAACAACCACCCTTGTTGTTTGCCACTACAACAGAGATCCTTACATTATACACCTGAACATTGCCTTGTCAATGGTGATTTCCCTTTGTTTTGGTGTTGAAAAAGCCACATGTTTCAAATGGTTGCAAAATGTATCGATATTTTAAGAAGCCCTGGACTCAGCTTTGGCTTTCCATAGGAATCCAAGTCCGCACCTCGTTGTACAATGGTCTTCCCAAAAAGCTTAAAGTCCATGAACTCTCCGATGAGGTGTGTGTGTCGAGATGCCTTCGACTGGGTTTGCCAGACATCGTACTGTGGATGGAAATGCGAAATCCAGAAATCGCACCACGAAATGAAACCATGGCTGAAACCATAACGTTTGTTGGTATTTGCAGAGAATTCGAACCATTCCGTTGGGTTTCTTAGGTGGTGCGAAATGGATTTCGTCCATCCACAGTATCATGCAAAGCATATCATGCGAGCAGGTCTTTTTGTGGCTCACGAGTGGCCTGAAACATACGTGGGGGCTCCGAAAATTAAAGGCTCACGGCCGCGCTTGGATAGCCCATGAACACTACCTTTTTTTTGGCAAGAATCATGGAAGTGCACAAGGGGCCAATGTCAAGTGGATGGCAGTCTTCCATACTATCATAATGCCAGGCATAACCCCATGTCCCACATGCGTCACTTTTCGGGGGGACCCAAATCCAAGATGGCAAGCAGCGGTTCTCCTCTCTCTTTCTTTTTCCTCGGGACAGGCAAACAGGGCTGGAATTAGGACCCCAGCAAAAACATATCTCTTTTCTGCCTGGTTAGAGGAAAAACAAAGGATTAGGACCCCAAAAAGGCAAAAAAGTAAAGAGGGGAGCGAATTCTGGGGAAGCAAACAGGGACTTTTGGCTCCCGGGAGCGTGAGACGAAGGCCCCCGGCCGCACCAGCTCCAAACGACTGAGTTGGCCTGAGTGAGACATCCCCCGGGTTTTTCTCACGGGCTTTGCGCCGGGGGTTTCTCAGCTCTTTGCCCTGAAGGGTTTCAAACACACATCACCTGACCCTCTTTTTTCTTTTTTGCGAGCTTCATTCTGAGGTCACGTTTGCAGAAGGAATTTGCTTGGTTGCTGGCGAGACACCTCTGCAAGATTAACTTTGTGTGGCTCCAATGGAACATCCACAGTTCAAGTCCAAAGCTCTAACCAAATAGCCACAAAGGTATAGGCATGCTGAAAATTCCACACGTCCTCTCATGAGTCGCAGCGCCAGAAAACCGCCTTTCGGAGGGCGAACAGGACCTCCAAGTCGTCTCCATGTTTCACTTGGAGTCGGGCGTGACTTCGGAACTGGACATCATTTTCATGGGCATCGGCCACTTTCGAGGATCGGAAGTCGCGTGGGAAAATTTGGGCCCGAGTTCTGAAAAAAGGGCAAAAGATTGCTGGCAGTCCGAGCTCGTCCAAGTGGACCACACACACTGGACATGTTGAGTCTCTACCTGGGAAGATTGAGTGGTCTTACCCACCTTCTCGCCCTACAGCTGCGGGAAGTCTTTAGCCAGAAACCCTGCAGGGTTCACCTGGCGAGCACTGGACCAAATCTCACAAACCTCGCCCAGCTTTCTATCTGGTGGTTGGGCATGGAGGTTCGGGAGAAGCTTCCCATGTGCCCTCAAGAACGTTCAAATCCCCATCCAAACCAATTGGAGGGAAGCTGAACAACTCATTCGCCGCTCGCTCGGGCCAGGCCTTTCCGCAGCGTGCGGTCATCCCTAAGCCTCGGCCACGAGGGTCTTCGCTGATCATTCAAATGGACAGGCGACTCGCCTGAAACGGGTGCCCTGAAAGGACAGACACACTGCGGACGGACGAAAACCCACTTTGCACCACCGTTCAGAAACCCCTGGTTTCTAGAATTCGATCTCCCCACGTACGTACCAACAAACCCTTCTGGTTTCAAGCATCGGTTGCAATCTGGTGCGATTTCTGGATTTCGCCTCCCGCGGTATGTTGCGGTTCTGGTTCTCGACGATTTCGGGTGCATGAAGCGAAGGAGATATGTTGCATCTTAGCCACACCCCCGGGGGCTATGAGAAAATGTTGATAGGGAACCGCCTCACAAGTGGCTCGCAGGTGCTTGGTGGATCTGAATGCCCAAAACATGTCTTTATGGCCATTTGGTCGGATCTTTGAAGATCTTCCACTCGACAAAAAGTTAAACTTTTCGCGGAGGGGTCAACCGCAACAAAGAAAAAGAAACCAAGAGAAACCACCCCCTTTGCAGGTGCTGATGGACGGCGGGCGGAGAAACACAAACATGGGGGAGAGGGGAGGAGGGGGGGGGGGGCTTGTATGAATGCAAAAGCTGCAAGTTTCAGTCAAACTCCCCCCCAAAAAAAACATATCACGAAATCTCAATCTAACCCCCCCCCCTCCCCCCCTCCACAAAAAAAACGCATAAGAGCCCGTGGCGCCGACCCCTTGAGTTGTGTGCTAAGTGGGTCCCAGGGAAAAAGAAACTTCGCAGGAATCCTCGCCGTCCAACTTGGCCGCTTGAGGAAAGACAAATGGCTGTCCTGGCTCAGAAAAATGATTCCCCAAAATGGCCCTAGCTCGTTAATTTTGAGCCACACCCAAATGATTCGCGATGGTGGGTTTTGCAGAGAATGCTCGGCAAAAACGTCCGCCGGTCCAGATACTCGAAAGTTGGGGAGTGACAAAGATAAACTCCATAACATTTGGGTCCGGATTTCGGGACGTGAAAAGAAACCCCGACCCCTCCTCCCTCCCCCTCCCCCAAAAAAATCCACCCCTTTTTTTAGGTCCAAAAAAGGGAAATGAAGGGGAAGCCCCGACTCCTCCCCCCTTCCCTTTCCTTCCCCACCACCCCAAAAAAAGAAACGTCCCCCCCCAAAAAAAAAAAAACGTCTCCCCCCCCCCAAACAAAAAAAACACGTCCCCCCCCCCCCAACGAAAAAAACATGACAGGAAAGCAACTCCCACCCCCCACCCCACCCCACCCCAGCCCCTCCCGCGGCCTGTCGAGCCAGGACTCCGGCGGCGCCCTAGGAGGGTGGAGGTTGGGTGTCGGGAGGTTGGGAGTTGTTGTGACTCTTCGTTTTTTGCGGGGGTGGAGGTTGGGGGAAGTTGGGGGAGGTTGGGGGAGGTGGTGGGAGGTGGTGGGAGGTGGTGGGAGGTGTTGGGCCGGACTGCTCCGGCCCCCAAGAAGGTGACAACTGTTTGCGAGTGAGAAAGGGGGAGACGAAGGGAATCCCAAAAATTCACAAAGGGCAAGTTAGGTCTAGCAATCGATGTTGGCACTCACCTGCACTTCGGCTGAAACCCCTACTTGGTTCCGACATGCTCCGACCCAACATCGGCGAAGCACAACAAATCGCCCCGGGAGCCAAAGAACGGTGCCCCATCCAATGCTTCCCCATCCGTGGTGGTCATCTTCCGAAGGAAAAAGCGGCTGTCCTGTGAGGGAATGAGGGAATGCGACACCCAAAAAAAACACGTCCCCGAGTTGGTTTCCTTTGAGGGAATCCCCTTCCGGTTCATTTCCGAAACCCTAGGCGGTCAATTGCTCGGCCCACCATGCTCAAAAAAGGGAACGAGCTGCGTCCTCAAAACCCGGGTAGATGAAGGCTAAGGGATGGTCCCAGCCAAGCCGCGTGGTTAATTATTCGCATAGTTTTAGACCATTTTCATGCCTGGTTTTGATTCTGACTCACCTGCCTTGAAATGGGTGGTGCACCTACCAACCAAAATGGTACCATTGGTTTTGACCCTCGGCCTGAACTGATCAACGGCAGTATCAGGGAAATCCGCGGCTGAAAGCGGAAAGACGCATCATGCCCGGAAACGGCTCGCCCGTTTTCCTTGCGGTCGATGGATTTCAGCGGGGTGAGAGCGAGGGCGGAGTGGTTCATCCGCCATGTGCGACTTGGACGCAGCAAACAGTTTTATTGTTGCCGGCAAGGGAAATGAGGGAAGACCAACAGGCAAAAAGCTAGACAGGTAGGCGAAGTTTGGCACCGCAACCCGAAACTCTGAAGATGTGCCTCCCGACTCTCCAATGATCCTGGTAAAACAGGACCCTAGGGTTTTCAGTCGATCCCCGACCCTGAACAACTGGACCTCATATGGGAAAGGATATACACCCTGGCCGATTTTAGAACAAGTTGATTCAATTGGGGCAGACGAAATGTAATCCCCAGGTAGATCAAACCGAAAGCCACTCAAACCCCACGCTGGCCGACGTCACGCTGCTCCGCCAACGGCCGCCAACGGAACGCCCCCCTGAAAGGGCTCGCCACTCTCAGCCGACGAGCAGTCGCCCGGCCTCCGTTGGTGCGATAGGGAATGAGGGAACAGCCCCTTGACACAAACCATTTCAGTGGTCTCCTTCAAGGGGGCCCCGGGGATCATTTCCACGTTACCTACTTAAAGGGGCAGGGTATCTAGTAAGTGGTTACTAACTATGGTTACAACCCACTTAGGAGACTCATAACCATGGTAAGTGGGTTATAACCACGGCTACTAACCACTTGCTAGATACCCTGCCCCTTTAAGTAGTGAGCACCAGCAAGTAGAGGAGTCTTCTTTCGAAGCAAAAAACCTGTTGGGCTTCCACTCCTCTGGCCACGGAGGTGCTCTTCCGCAAAAGCTCGGGAAAGACCTCTTGAGGACTCATGGAGCTAGCCCCTCCTTCGGCCAAAGAACCGAAGCTCCATGATTTTTTCAGGCGCCGCGCTACGTGCCATTGGGCCTCCCTTTTTCAACTCAGTACGCGAACCTGTCCCTTTGGCGAGCCGCAGCTCAGATTTGGGCATTCAAGGCCAAAGGGCCACGGCTGTTTTCCTGCTGGAGATACCCACCTGACTATGTCTCACGCGTACATCACCCGAAAACCATACCAACGTAACTCCGGAAGCAAATACCGAAGCTTGTGAGGATCGCCTTTGAACAGCGCAAACGCACAAGTGTCAGCCGCTGGGATACATCCGCGATTAACATGGCACCCAAGAACCGGGTCTCCTTTCCCCAAAAGGAGACTCCTCTAAGCACCAGGGTGTTAGGAGTTCCATGTTCATCTGGAATGTACCTCCGTTTTCAGACAGCCCAACAACACAGTGGCGGGTTGGCTATCAAGTCCCTCAGTCTGGGGTCAAAGTCAACCCCTTGTCAGTGGGTCAACGAAGCCATGCCGCTGAGATTCGCATCCGCTGAAACCAGCCATCGCTCCTCCATCTTCCGCCCTGCCCGGGGCTGACAGGTCCAGGACTAGCGACTCGAAAGGACGACCTGTTGCCAACTTCGGTGCGTCTATTAGGACCCCCAACCCGCAAGGTTTGGTGGTTTTAAGAGGACCCCCCCATGTTTTTTGACATGGTTGGTAGCTTCAAGCAAGAGGAACAACGACCAAAGTCCGACATCGATGGTGGGTTGGGGGGCCTGTGTCGCATCGTGCTCTCACCCGCAAAATCGGGCAACACGCTGCCGCACTTAAGTTGAACTCAATGTAGCGCGCATTGTAGTGTTCAATGTGGCGCTTACTGCCGCGCTTAGCGCAAATGCCTTGCACGCAAAGTTTGTTTAAAAACAGCAGTTCAGTCGTAGTAGTGTTCCACTTTGCCAGAACGCTTTATCTAACGAGCGACTATTTGCTTGTTGGTTGCCGTTGAGTCAGTGTGTGCCTAGCGCAAAACAACGACATGTTGGAGCTTCTCTGAACAATTCTGTCAGTGCTCTGTAGATTGGAGGGAGTTTCAACCATTCGTCATCTGTGGCTTTGGTCGGCGTCAAAATATTGGCCCTGCGTTCTGTTCACACAGGGCGCCCTCTGTACAATCTTTCTGCTTTCCCCGTAGCCCTTGGGCAAAACGAACACACAGTCTTCATGTTAAGAGGGAGCCCACAAAGACAAAAGACAAACACGGACACTGCTCGGCAAGGGGATAAAACTGAGGCCATGCGCAGACTTTGCCGGCGTGCAGCACCTGGAAAGCGCCTTGCCGTTGAAAACTAGCTCTCGCACACCGGCAAGAGCATGTCTGCAGGGTCAATCTATACATGACAGCGGGGCCTACCCAGGTCATGGCAGTACTCAAAGAGAACTTGACACAACGCTTTGACAGGTGCGCCGTGGCTTTGAAATGTCAACGCCTTGTGAGAAGCTCCCTGCAACGTGCCTCACTGACCGCTCCAACGTGACTGGCCGGGAAAAGGTCTTGACTTCTGAGCCTGGAACTTGATGAAGAAAAATCTACCCCAGAATTTGGATAATCTCCAGGGGATCAGCTGGCAAAGGTGAGGTTTGATTCGTCCAAACCCGCCGACGACAGACGGCGCGTTGGACATAAGAAATGCTCCTTGCCTCTTTACCTGCTACCCCTCCCCTTACCCCTCCCCAGAATTGTGGGGCGGGGGGCGGGCGTGGGGATGGCCACGTGCCACACGGTGATTCCACGACATCCTTTCTTCTGGGCGCTGTGCGGGACACAGTTGCGTAAAAACATTGGGGTGTTCGATTTTGCCCGGGTCCGCTTTTGCTCTCCTTGGGCAACATCGTCAGCATCACCTACATCATCCGCCTCAGGGCCCATCAAGGATGCGGATGATGCAAGTGATGCTGGTGATGTTGCCCATGCTGGAAAAGAAATCTGTGAAGGAAAATGCATGAAGGGAAGGGAAGTGAAGGAAAGTGAAGGGAAATGAAGATCTTAAGGGGGGGAAAAAGGGAAAATATTTTAGGAACTGGGGAGAAGGGCGGAAAAGGGTGGAAGGGGCTATCAGGGGGGGAGGGAGGGAAAAATCTTAGGGGGAGAAGGTGGCAAAAGATCTAACGGGGGACAAGGGAGATCTTAGGATGGGAAAGGAAGAAAAAGATCTTAAAAGGGGGTGAGGGGGACAGGGGGAAAGAGATTTTAGGAGGAGGGAAAAGATCTTCCGGGGGGGGGGCTTAGCAGGGGGGGGGAAAGGGTGGAAAAGATCTTGGGGGGGAAAGGGGAAATAAGGGGGGGGGGGGAAGATGTTATAAGGGGGGGAAGGGGGGGGAAGACTTTGGGAAGGGGGGAAAAGATCTTGGTTGGGGGGGGAAAACGATCTTCATGGGCAAAAGGGAAAATATATAAGGGTGGGAAGGGGGGAAAGATCTTAGAGGGGAAGGGGGAAGAGGGGCAAAGATCGGGGGGAGGGGGGCAAAGATCTTGGAAAAAATGAGGGAACAGATTTGGGGGGGGGGGGGGGAAGGGGCGAGAAGACCTCACAGGGGGACTTCGAGGCCTTAGGGGGAAAGGGGGGGAAAGGATCTCAACAGGGAAAGCGGGGAAAATATTTTAGGGAGGAAAAGGGGGAGAAGATCTCAGGGGGAGGACGGGGGGGAAAAGATCTTAGAGGGGAGGGGGGCAAGGGGGGCAAAGATCTTAGGGGGGAAGAGGGGACGAGATCTTGCAGGGAGACTTCCAAGGGGAGAAGTCCAATAGGATAATTCCAAAGGCGATGGGAAGCAGCCAAAGGAAAACTTCCAATGGGACAATTCCAAAGGGACGCCAATAGGAAAGCAGGCCTGTGTTGTCGGCCGCCTGAGCCGGAGGTGTTAAAATATATCCTTGGGACTCCGTTTGAACCACGAATAATGCCTCTCAGACTTGAGGTGATGAACGTAGAGACAGGACTCCTCTGCCCCCTGCCCATAAGGAACTTCCCCCCAAGACCTTGAGAGAGGTCAATACCAACTCAACGGCTCCAAATGTTGAGCCGCAAACTCAACCTCAAAGGGGGTGATCGGAACCTCCGTTTTGCCAGCGGCCGTATGTCAACCATGTGCCCTGCTTGATCCGCAGCCAGTCACACTCCCCAGGAATCGGGGGTAAAACATTTCAGGCCATATCAGGTCGAGTCGCTATGGACATCGCCAACTCAACAGGCATTGCTTACATTGGCTTTTTCGCCGCCTGGAAAAAACAAGAAACACATGTCCAGTAGTGAATTCGATTCCCTTTAAAACAAACAGGCAAAATTATGTGTATATATATATATATATATAAGCCAGGGAAGAAAC